TTCAGTGGTAATGTTTATCACCTCTACTAATTAACATGATGTAAACTTTTATGCTTCCTCCTCAAATATAATACATTTAAAAAATTTTGTTGATATTTTTCTGTGTGTGTATATCACACAGAACATCCAAAACAATCTTATTCAACTATACACCCACTTCCCAGATGGCACCCTCCCATAGCCTCCCTCCCTCCACTAGAGTCCTTATACTCGGTTATCCCTGCTACTGTCTGCTGTGTGGTCGGGACTCCCAGCCGTTCCCCATTACTTGTCCAACTGGTAAATCTAGTCAGCCTATCTAGAGGTCTTTGTTTTAGGAAGGTCAGCTGTTCCTCATCTAGCAGCAATCAGTTGTCAATATTCCTTTAGATAAGATTGGGGTCTGCTTTCCCAGTTCTATGCTGGGTTACTATCTGGGAGTCCCTTGGGCTGCCCTGGCCAACAACTCCAAAGAAGGTATTGCCTGTCTGGCATTGTTGCTTGTTTTGTAGCCTTTATCTATACACATGGACTCTTAAGAAATTATATTGGCCCCTTTAATCTTTGGTTATACTTTCCTTTTGGGTGTTTAAAGCCATACTGTTGGCCCAGATAAACCAATTTATGTTTACTCTTAAGGTCATTTGAGGACCTGTTCCTCAGGGGTCACATGGGCTTGGGAGGAGCCCCGGGCTCCTTTCTTTTACGAATTCTGCCTATGTGAAGATAAGTCAAAGGTCCTGCTCGACCATGGCTGGCCTCGCTGGGAAGCATGGAAGAAATGTTCCCTCTGTGTTGACCCTCCTTTTTTGTAGACTGGATGCTGGTTCAAGTCCATCTCGTGGGGTCTCCTCGGTCTCCTTGATCAACAGGTGACCCACCACAATTTCAAGACATTTTGGGAGACACTCATAGTCCCCTGGAACTAGTCAACCTAGGAGAGCAAGGAGCAAAAACTGTCCTTTATGTCCCTCTGACCAAATTAGTATAGACCTCAAAGTATGTCTGTTAAACATCCAAGAAGGTTAGTTCCACAAGTCTGGTACTTTTAATTACTGTGTGCCATGTAGATAAATCTTGGGCAAAGACCAATTGTTCTCAGATAAACCTTACCTAGACATGTATTTCTTGATCTCATAGGTATAATTTCTCAGTAGGTTGTTGGACTAATATGGTTACCTCTGCTTTTTAAAACTAGCTAGGCATTATTTATCTCTCACATTGTCTCACCCCTCCATCATGGTTTTCCCAATTAAGGTGCCCCCATTTCCCCCTGTTCTCCCTTATTAATACCCTTCTCCTAAGGTCCTACCTCTCTTGAGCTCCTTCTTTCCCTTTATCTCCTAGGTTCCTTGTATACCCTTCCCCCCCTCCCTTAATCTAACCCAAATTTTATCCACATCTCCCTTATTAAGGCCTGTTTCCTATTGTTCTTCTCTTTCAGGGTCTTTCTTTTCCTTTACCTCCCAGGTTCCTTTCCATTGTCCTGGTTCCTATAGTTATGTCTGGATACATATTCACTTATCAGGGTTTGGTTCTAGGATCCACATATGAGGGAGAACATACGTCAATTTTTTTTCTGAGTCTGTGTTACTTCACTTAGTTTTTTGGTCTTCTTGAGGCAGGGTCTCTCTGCAGCCCCAGCTGACTTGGAACTCATTAGGTAGACCAGGCTGGCCTTTGTCTTACAGAGGTCTGCCTGCTTCTGCCTCCCAAGTGCTGGGATTAAAGGCCTGAGCCACCATGCTTTGTTTGGAGTCTCTGCAATAGGATGATTTCTTTGGTTATATGCCAAGGAGTGGTATAACTGGGTTAAATGGTAGGTTCATTTGTAGTTTTTTAAGAGTTCTCCACACTGCTTTCCATAGGGGTTGAACCAGTTTGCAGCCCCACCAGCAGGGGATGAGTGTTCCCCTTTCCCCACATCCTCTCCAACATTTGGTATCATTTGTTCTCTTGATCTTAGCCAGTCTGACTGGGGTAAGATGAAATCTTGAAGTGGTATTAATTTCCATTTCCTTAATTATTAGTGGTGTTGAACATCTTTTATGCTTCATAGCCATCTTTACTTCTTCTTTTGAGAACTCTCCGTTCAGCTCATTAGCTCATCTTTTAATTGGGTTACTTGTCTTGATTCTGTTTTTTGAGTTCGTTATATATTCTGGATATTAAACCTCTGTCTGATGTGTCGCTGGTGAAGATTTTCTCCCCTTATGTGGGTTTTTTGTTCACTTCCCTGGTTGCCTCCTTTGATGTACAGAAGCTTTTTAGTTTAATGAGGTCCCATTTGTTTCTTGACCTTATTTCCTGAGCAGTCCCTGTCCAGTTTAGAAAATCTTTTCCTACACCTATATCTTGTAGGTTATTGCCAATGTTTTCTTCTAACAGTTTCAGAGTTTGAGGCTTCACATTCAGGTCTTTGACATATTTGGAGTTGACTTTTGTGAAAGGTGAAAGATAGGGGTTTAGTTTCATTCTTCTACAGGTGGAG